CCTGGGAGACAAATGAAAAGAACTGGGAGACAAATGAAAAGAAGTGGGAGACAAATGAAAGGACGTGGGAGACAAATGAAAAGAAGCGGGAAACACATGAAAGGAAGCGGGAGACAAGCCAGCCGGGAACCCGACCACAAGCACCCAGCCTGGGAGACAAACGAAAAGAACTGGGAGACAAATGAAAGGAAATGGGAGACAAGCTGGCCGGGAACCCGACCAGACCATCCAGCACCAAGGCGACCATTCTTTAAAGCATTGAGAACCCCTAACAGTAAACTGTTTGGCGACCATTCTTTAAAGCATTGAGAACCCCTAACAGTAAACTGTTTGGGGAAAAAGAAGAAGAAAATAGGAGAACTTAAAAGTAAAAGGGAAAGCACAAGGCAAGGACAAGCCAGCAGGGCTGGAGTGGGGTTGATTATTGTAGGTTTGTTATGGTTTGTTTATAATTGCAGGGGTGGGAGTCCAAAGGGGTACCCTTTGAACATACTTTTTTTTGTATATGTTTGATAGGGGTTCCGGTCACCGCGATTCGCCAAGCAGCTCAAATTCCTGGGCCAAGCGCAGCCGTTCTGCGCCGTCGCGGGCCAATCGAGCACTCCGTCGCCGGCGGCGCGCGTAGTGAGCAGCGCCAGGATCCACCACACGTCAGAGAGTAGGGTTCGGCAGGCCATGAAGCACTCACCCCAGCTGAAGAGTCTAGTAGATGTTCCCTTTTTTTGGGGCTATATATTTTTAATATATATATATATATTTGTTAATGACATTTATCGTATTATATCGGTATAGTGTGCCAGACCTATAGTGGTGGTGACAGGGACTTGCAAGAAAAACTGCATGAACTGTATTTTGTAAGCCAATTTAATCCTGTCTGCAATGGATTCCATTTGCAACGCGTGTTTTGGGTGGATGAAGAGGCTCCCGCGTCGAAAATCAGAAAGCTGAATATATAATATATATATAGACTATATATAATAATATACATATATATAATATATACATATAGACTATATAAATGAGAAATGATGAGAATTGGCTTTCTGAGCTCTAACATCTTGCGAATGGGAGCTATCGTTCTCCATATATCTCCTATAGGTTCCGCTCCCATCGTGAATCGAGGGGGCTGGTTTTTCCGAACTCAGAGACGCAAATCATCACTTTCTCTGCAGATCTGGAGACGCACCCAGCTTCCAGATCATGCCATGTCATGTGCAGAAGCACCGGCAGAACCAACAATGTGGGTGGCTGATGTCGGTGGTCTGCCTATTCAGAGAAGAAACCCACTATGTCGCGGGCTCGGGCCACATGACCCACATGAAACTGAGTCTTGCAGCCAGAAGTTGGAATATGTTCTCTGTACATCTCTGTAACCAGTTTAGGATAGACTTTTGGGGATCCATTTGCTATTTTTTATGCAAAGGGCACCCCCAGCAATATAGCTACAACCAGCCTTGAAAAGCGATTGGATTCGATGAACACAACAACCCCCACACTCCGAGTCATTCACATGAACTCGTGAAGTTCGCCACCTCTTTGGCATTCGGAGGACCACATCGTCCTCCGAACTCGGGAGGACATCGTCAGCCTCGTAACCATGGTTTTTCTCTACAAAGTGTGGATGGACTGTGGGACTCCCACCCTCAGATTCGTCTTCGGTCATCCTTCGGTGCCTGCAGGACTTGCACATTGGCTGTCCAGGACGGCAGCGTGGCCCACCGTGCAGCGCTCCCGGACCGGAGGGCGTCCGAGGCGTTCTGGAGCGCGGCCCGCGCACGGGGCAACACCTTCCCAGGTGCCAGACGTGAGGGATCGGCTGGAGGGTCTGCAAGGGAGGGCGAGCGAGAATGAGTGATATATTGAAGTGATTCTAGTGGCACTTGGTGAGCAAGAGACATGGAGGTCAAACACTAGGTCAGACTTGAAGGCTTTAGGACTTGGAATTGATGGGAATCAAACACCTTTCCGAAAACCGTGTCCTCGCTGTCAAGGATTTTCTTGGTCTTTGATCAGTTTAATTGGAATCGGCCAATCCGTCGTCAACACACAGGACCTGTTTCTTCCCCGCCCATGATGCTGAAGCCAGTTTCGCCAGTTTCATGTTTGCCAGTACAGTGACATCTTCAATGGATTAAATCCAAATCGTCAGCCAGGCAATGTTAGGCATCGTGTTCAGAACTCGAATCCGTAGTCCGGGTGATCGCGGAGCAGTGTGGGCACCAGTCCCACCACCAGATCTCCCTTGAGTGGTCCCTGCACAACTCCTATGTGGTTGAGGCCAAGAGCCTCAAGATTCAAAATGGACAAGGACAAGTCTGAACTGGACCAACGACGAGTGCCTCTCATGAACAACGACATTCTCAGCATCTTGGCAGTCCGTCGACCAAAGTCCAAAAGCATCAAGGGAAACACCCTTCTTTGCAAAGGATTGTTGAATTATTGTTGGCAGATCTAGGTGAACCAGTTGACCCTCGTCAATTCTCGGAATATTCTTGGTCAAGGGAGTGAGAACTCACCAACATTTATATATACTCCATGAAACACCATAACTCGACGTTTCTCTTTCCCCTTCTCCCACCTCCTCCGTCTGCGTCCTCAGGAAATCCTCAGGGCACCGCAGATTTACTGCCACGGAGCAAGAGAAATGGAGCAAATCTTGGACCACCTTGCAATACCTTCTAAAAAAACACAAACAAACACATGCAAATAAGCCATTCTAAACGCTACTTGTTCGGCGGGCCCATCATGGTCAAACAACCCCTCCAGTCCTGGCGGTGCGGGGGCATCTTGGGGTGCTCCTCCAGGAGATTCTCGAGCCTCAGCCAACACACAAATCCGATGCTTGTGCATGCCAAGGCATGATGATGGTTGGTGATGATGGTTGGTAAAGACCTTTTAATAATTGTTTGCCGACTGTTGCAAGTAATGGGACGCACCCTACGTATTGGCGTTAAAATAAATCCACTGAAGTTTTGTTTGGGAAGTCTTGAGCTGAACTTTACTGGAGAACTGCAAGGCTGGATTTGGCAAACGTTTGGTTGTTGCAGCTTGTAATTCTATGCCCATATCCATTCTTGCATAGTCAAACACAGGTGCTGTCCTAGGTCCTTCCGACCAGTACACAACCTCACCCACTTGCCTCCGCTTCTCTAACCGTTTGAGCGCCCTTCCAAATAGAATAGATTATATAGCCCTTAATTAACCCTTCCATTTGGATGTGTTTGTTGCAACATGTTTGGATGTTTACATGTGTTGGGCAGGTTCTATATAACAATTGATTGAAATTCTCGGTCATGTGAGCGGGTTCCATCTAAAAATCACCGGTCATGTGTTTGCATCTACGACCGATGCTGAAGAACAACGACCTGCATAAGTTGAATGGATGCCGGCACGGGGTTGGGGGTCTAACATCTTTATATAATACAACCCTTTTATCCGAAGTGAGCGTGCGTGGTGGCAATTCGTAGCAGTCTCTTCTATCCAACTTAACAGACCAGGGATATGCGACATGATCCCTAGTGGCCCTCTAGACTCAGAATGCGGCATAGGTTGCAACATGTTTGCATGGTTTGCGGCAACACGGAAGAGGCCACAGTCCCCCTTTTATCAAAAGTTACTTTACTTCGAGTGACCCTGACATATCCTGAATCCTTACCATTGCTTTATACTGTGTTGGTAACCGACGGCTATATTGGCGCAATACTGGCATGTATTCTGATATTTTATTCGGCAAATGTTCTGGCATTCTATCAGGCATACATTCTGGCGTTTGGCATGCAATCAGGCATTCTATTTGGTACAAATCGGGCATTCTATGTGTTGTTATTGTGGCACTCAATGTCAATCTAGCAAACATTATGGCATTCTATGTCATTTTGCAAATATGTTGGCATTCTATCTGGCATTCTATCTGCCGAAAGTTCTGGCATTCTATCAGGCATAATTTCGGACATTCTATTTGATATATATATAATTCTGGCATTCTATCGGGATATATTCTGGCATTCTATTTGCCAATGATTCTGTCATTTTATCTGACGACATGTGACATTTTTTTGACATGCTTTCTGGCATTGTTTCCGGCACATGTTGGCATTCTACCTGGCATAAATTCTGGCATTCTATGTGGCCTAGTTTCTGACAGTACATCAGTATATATATATAGAATAGGCTTCTATCAGGCAAAAATTCTGGCACTCTAGCTCGTTGCTGACATTCTTTCCTCTCTATCTGGTTCAGGTGTGGTGGCGCCCTCTGCGATCTGGCGCTCGTTGTGAAGGCCCGGTGGTGCCCACCAAGATCGAGCGCTCGCGGTTGAGGTCCAGCAGTGTCCACTATCATCTAGCACTCGCGGTTGAGGAGGATGCCAACGAGGAGGCGGATAGCTCCGATACAATCTAACAACCCTCAGATGGGGAAATGATGGGTTTTCCCACTTCCAATGTTTGGAGGGAAGAGCTCCGCCGTCCGCGTCCGGAGTCGATCGGTCGGCCAAGCTGCTTCCGTCGGGCCTCGACGTCTAAAAGTGCTAAGACTGGGCCCACGGTGTCCTACGCAATCGTGAGCCGAGCCGAGCCTGGGATGAAATGATCCAACCAGTAATCCAGTAAAGGCCCCAGCCTGGAGTTAAAGGTCAATATCCATCGCGCATGCACATGAAAGATTGACACGCATTTCTTCACAGAGATCACCAACATGTTGAAGTTCATGATACTCATGCATGTTGTCTTTCCAATTACCAATAGGCCAAGCAAGTACTTATCAATAACCATTCTCACCCGCCAGCAACCCCCCATAGAAGGCATTCCGCACGCATTCGGGAAGGGTTTCATCGCAGCTCCTCTTCTTGGCCCGAAGCGAAGTAGCTCAAGGCACGTAGCCTGCGTTGGACGACGTTTTACCGTTGACGATGTCTGGTGCCAGCGCCCTCCCGTTTTAGGGTGTTTCTTCATGGCTTGCAGGTGACTCGGGGTGTAAAAACAAACCACCCCGACTGTGGGTCTTAGTAGAGGTTTGAAAGTCAGGCCACAGCCGTATCAAACGGTCTGGTGGGTTAGATTAAGACAGGATTCAGGATGTTAGATCGAATCGGATAGATCTGTCCACTTGGCCTATAGTTTGGGAGAGTACCCCAACTTCACAGTGGCCATACCCATTTGTGATGCGCTACTCTGGCTAATAAATCAGGTGACACCAAGTTCGAGCCATCAGTGACATCCAATGACATGCGCCACGGAGTTTGGCACCTTGACAAACTCATACAAGCCTTGTAGGTGCAGGGTTGAGAGTGTTCCTTGATGAATCATCGATGCTCCTTGTTTCAGGGATGCGAGGTTATGGTGGGTTCTCATAGTTAATACCTTCAGCATGGATGTAGTACCCTTGCACAAGATCTATTTCCATGATGCTTGGAGGTGCCAGACTCAACCAGGCGAACTCCCTCCTTCACCTACCTGTCCCAGCCCTCTCTTTCTGTTTACCATTCATCAATCTCAAAAACACATCAACCGATGTATACGATTCAAGGACCCTGGCAGATGTCTTGGTCAACTGCTTGTGTCACCCAGATAGAAGGAATACAGAATCAACTTGTCGGTTTGTAAAAACACACACACACAAACACACATGAAAACTCTTGGCTAAGTACCAGCACCCCTCCATTCATCGACCCTCATGGCACCCCACATCGACCGCAGAGTAGACCGAATCGTACGACGGATACCACCCCGGCGACGGATCCACTCGAGTGGCTTCAGCTCGCCGCGGCTGGCCACCGATTGGCCCTGAACCAGGTAGGGCGCCAAGTCAGACTCCTGCGACATCGGAACTAGGGCCATGTTTTGTTCCATGTGTTGTTCCGTTCCCAGAACAGGACGGTTGTTGTGTTTTTTTGTATGTTTTGGTTGCCCACTGCAAAACACTGCTAACGTGCGTTGTATTTTCTTTTAAATATGGCCTTGTTGTTCACTCCAATAATAATAGCAAGCGAGGACAGTTTTCTTGGTTCAAACAGTTTGTTCATGTTTGTTCACTTGAAAGTCATAAAGGTGAGGGGGGCAAGAAGAAATATGATCAGCTCGACATGCTGCTTGTACTCCTGTACCCCCAAATAGGCGGTTCTTGGCAAATCCAAGAAACGGCGAACGTCCAAGAAACACAAGTAGAAGATACTATAAGTGCACTAACGTCTAGTGCACACGTTTTGACCGTTTTCAAGGCATCACACGGCTTGTTCAGGGCGGCTTCAGTGCCGACCGAAGGCTAAGCGGGATGTTCCGCCGTCCCGGTGTTTTGGACCGAGAAAGTGCCCATGGTCGATATCACTTGGGCATGCCGTGTTGGTTGGGCCAGCAAAGGGCCGAACAGAACAGGAATTGGTTGTCTTAGTCTCACAAATACAGATCCTTTCTCAACTAGATGGCATCAATCAACTGGCATGTATCCCGCCAAGTCTCAACTGGTGGACCGTTCATGTGGTTTTCTTTGATGAACGTGCCAATTCTTGATGGTGAACTTGATTGATTTCCATGTCCCCAACCATGGCTAATGTTTAAAATCAATTGGATGCAGTAGGTTGCAGGAGAAAAGTGGTGAAGAATCACGCTTCACATTTGCCATTGAATCATCCTTGATCCATCCCACTCTTACAAAGGGCAGGGACATCTCAACTAAGAATGCATGAATTATGAACACACATGGCTTCCACACAATTTGTGCAAAGAAAAACACGCCCCCCTCATTCTCAACACCAACTTGCTAACTCCTGTCCCATCCCATGAACTCCGATGCTCCACACAGACTCGACACGCCATCTTCGCCTGCAGACCCAGGTTCAGGTGGTCCCAAAGCACACGCCAGGCATCCAGCAAAGCGAAGAAACAGCGAGCTTCGACCACCTGAAGATGTGCTTTTCAGCGGAGCCGACCACCGAAAACGGAGTCGCATTTTGCCTCCAAGAATCGCTGGTTGTAATCACCCTTCGAACCAGTTGATGTTGGGCATTTGATGGTTTTTGGTCCTAGCTCATAACATGAAACCATTGGGATGATGTGAGTTGATGCCGAGATGAAGGGTCATTGAGTCATCGATGTTTCCAGTAGGCTAAGGAAGGTTCCTGCACCCACATTTGGGGAAGGTATAAATTGGACCCCTGGGAAATGATTGGAAAACGAAGAGGTGCGACCGGGTAAACAATCGGCACGACCAGTGGCTCCAATGATTCCAGGCAACCAAGACCCACGGTAGACAGGGTGCTGGGGGTGGTCGTTGCTGGAGATCGCAGGTCTAACCAACCTAGAGACCTCTTTTGAATCCATGAACGACCTCTTTTGATAGGACACGCCTTGAACATCTTTTGGGTGGTTGTCAAATTAAAGAAAAGTCACTCAGGTTCTAGGAACGTCCATATTGGATTTCATCAGCACCGGCACCTGGAGTCATCAACCATCGGGGTAGTTTCGTCTGATCAGACGGGCACGGAAGGTGACAAGAAGACAACACCATGCGCAAACTGAGTACAAACGAAGGACTTTTGTCGACTGCTCTGACATGTACAAACAAAATATAGAAATTGAAACCCTGGCAAAACCGCTGCAGAGCATTGACAAAGCATGATGACTGCCAATCCATGGCTCACCTTGGCTCCATCAGTCCATCTGAACGAGCAACCACAAAGAGTTTCACCATGTCTTCACCCCACAGGATCCTCATCATCACCGACCAAAATGCACCTCTTTCAACCAGACTCGAAGGGCCGATGTCGAGTGCTGCCGAAGGGCTATGCGGGTGCTGCTCTGCGGTTCCAGCTGCTGAAAGCGCGGCATGCCTGGCGGGTGAAACCCACCACTCGGAGAGGGAAGATCCACAGATCACCATGGTGATGGTCAGGTCAGTGTGCTTGTTCAAGAGCGTCATACCCTACACACTTGACCTTCAAGGGAGCACGTGTTTGTGGTTTTTGCCTTGTTCATCAGCACTGCGCGAGCAGCTTGCTCTAGAACTTGGCAACTATGAAGTCAATTCTGAGTTGTAAGCTACCAGCCAGATCGCCACGAGCTCCGCCCAAGATCATGTTCCACGCATTCCACGCCATTTCACACGAATCCCCCCCCCAGCCTACCACGGTCTGGTAGTAGCGCAAGGGCAGCAAAAGCAAGGGCAGCACACGGGCCCGGCGCATGAAAACCAGTGGTATGTCGCCTTTTGACCATTTTCAAGTGGGAGCCATGGGCATCTGAAGATTGAACAAACCAACGTTGTGGCCAAAGATGTAGTCGACTACATGTTACATAGCAAGTTCCGAGTCCTTTCTCCTTTTCCAAATCACCCTGCTTGATGTATGTGGGATTGCATGGGTGCTATGACCAATGACTTGGTTTGACTTTGAACACGATTGGCTGCCCTGCATCCGTTTTTCCTCTAACATGAGGCTCGTATTCCATGAGGCTCATATCCTCCTTGAGCCCCGCACTGGTGTTCTGACAAACTCAAGTTCAAAAGCGTCCACCTTCATCACCCATGTTAATATCTGCTCACTCAATGTTCCTGAGCCACAGCTTTCGCAGCTCTTGAGGTGTCTCGGTGTTTGTCTCCGCGCCCAAACACATGCCCAAAAGCATCGGTTGGAAGTGCGGCCGCTCGGCTAAGTTGTCCTTCCACTTAGTCCCCACTTCTTTTTGAGACATGGCAACCTATAGGATCAACATGGATCAAAATGGCTCAAGGGTCTCCCAAGAAATGGTCGCTAGGTGTCCGGAAATTCCGGGAGGCTTGGGCCAAGGGCTGTTTTCAGATGCTTAAACGTCTTCAAATGCCTAGTTGAGTTCCAGATGGAAAGGTATTGTGACTTTGGCAATGCACCCTCAACCAAATAACACTTACAAGTATGTCACTCCCTTTGATTATGATTCTTCTTCAATAGTCAAACAAGGAGCAATACCGCGAAGAAAGCTTTAGGCGGCAAACAAGAAACGCCTTGCAAGCAAAATGGCACGTTTCCTCAACAACATTGATGAACACACTTTGCGGTGAAGGCTTTGACAAAATCATCAGCATATATATATATATACTATACATGCTCAGAACAAACAACAACCATCAAGAACCCAAACCAACTTTAGAGAACTAGGAGAGGGCAATGCTGGGGGGGGGACTGTAAGCCAACATGAAGTGGCACCTTTTTCGCTTCGCTTCCGAGCTGGATCCCCGTTTACATGCCATGGAAGTTCTGATCATGGTTCTTCACCCTGCCCTGCTGCGTGAAGGTGACCGTCGCGAAAAAACCGGCCGCTAATCAGTTGCTAATCAGTTAAAGGGGGATAGCTTTTTTATGCTTTTTCTACGTGCGAACTGTGCACCCTTCGTGACTCCTGTGTTCCAACCACACCCCAGTTACACATGTCTCGTCCACCTGTCCATCCACCGAACCCCCCGAACCCCCCGAACCCACCGAACGCCCACGCGAGACGGTGAGACGTGTCCAAGCACTTCGAAGCAACGCCCCTACTCGCACCCAAAAACGCCGCGGCTCCGCTACCTTCGAGAGAACGACCACTTGTCGTCCGTCTTCGTCTAAAGCTTCTCCCCAATAGTGATGGATCCTCAGGTGTGACAGGGTGCTGGCGCCTTCGTGGGGTAGATCGATCTGTGGTCTGAACCCGGTGACCGATGGTCAACGTCGTTTCTTTCATGGCCCGTGAGTGGAGTGCTTTTTTGGGGTTGGAATGAGTTTCTTGGGTCATGTCCAAGTTGTTTGAGATGCATGGTTGGGAGACCACTGCAAAGGTGTGTGCCAGCAGGCATGGGAATGAAGTTCAGGGATGTCTGCCCGTATCTTCGAGTTTTCATGACTCAGTCACCAAACTGAAGTGGCATACCAAACCTGTCGTCAAGCAGTCACTGCACACCCCCCCACCACGGGCTAGCATGGATTTTCCTCCACAACCCCATGGTTTTGGGGGTCCGTGTTCATCTGCAGGTGAGGTGTCTTCCAGGTTTGGGGCTCTGGGACTGACAGGTTTGGACTCTGTCTACTTGAAAAAGAACACCACAGCCTCGGACCTCGTTCCGAGGTTTCACGGGGAAGGAGACCTGGCATGAGGACTGGCATGAGGACTGCTTGAGAACGAGAACCTGACCCGAACAGACTGGCCAAACATGGAACGAAAGCTTGGAACAAACACCCAACGAAACCCACCGGCGCTGGAGCATTCGGTGTACTTCACCTTGTTCAATCGTGTTGGAAAACTGATTCACCTTCAGGATTTGGAGAACTTCCTTTCACCGCGGGCACTTCTCATCGTGTTCCCATGTTTTGTTCCCTGATTCGCATCTCTGGGTGCTGGCACAATGCACGGGAAGAGCTCCAGTGCTTGTCATGGCCTGGACAGTGAAGTTCAATGGGAAAACGTGGGGGGGAACATTCTTCGGATGCGAACCCCAAGAACGCTGGGTCGAAAACGCCCGGACCCCAGAAACGACAACGCACACGAATTATCTAGACTATCTCGTCCACCCAAAGAGATCTTCTTTGGTTTCCTCACTCAACCCCTCAAATCACCACCTCACGACCAGCTCAACAATAACCAACAATAATCAACAATAATCAACAATAACCAACAATAATCAACAATAACCAACCATAACCAACCATAACCAACCATAACCAACCATAACCAACCAGAACCAACCAACCAACCAACCAACCAACCAACCAACCAACCAACCAACCAACCAACCAACACCTATACAGTCAGTACCTATTTATCTAACAGGAAAACCATGACATCACCGCTCCAAACCCTTCACTTCTGCCCGGTGTGGTTCACCGCCGGTGCGCGTGGAATGGCACGGGGCAAAGGTGCCAAGGCTGGGGCTCTTGAGCTCGGCCCATGGGTGGCTCAAGGGGATGAAGACCAGGCCACCGATGATGGCATATTCCTGGCGTCACACGAGCTGCCGTTCGCGAAAGCGAAACAACTAACTTCCTAAGAAGTGGGTGGTCCACTTCTTAAAGGCAACTTCCTAAGAACCAACCAACCAAACAACCACTTCCTGGCTGGTTGGTTGGTGTTCTTTCCTAAGGTCCGAAGCACCGGTGGTCCGGGTGGTCCGGGTCGTGCCGGCCCGGGTCCGGCTGCGAATGGCGGCGAACGACGAGATAGGAGTGCGAGATGAGTTTTTGTTCAATCGTCTTTGAGTCTTCGTTTCGAGTCTCGGAGGTATGAAAGTCGTTTGGTACTCTTCTACAACTAATTACTACTACCACCACCACTACTACTGCCACCACTACTACTACTACCACTACTACCACTACTACCACTACTACCACTACTACCACTACCACTACCACTACGACTACTACTACTACTACTACTACTACTACTACTACTACTACTACTACTCTTGATGAGTCTTTGAAATAGTCTTTGAGATTCTTTGATATCAAATATGGCCTCTCAATAGGTTTTCCAGGCCTCGGTCGACCGAATATTTGATCTCAAGATCGGGACACTGCCTTGGGGATCACCGTCCTCCAGGTCCCACAGCGTATTTGCGATAGGGGTGTTTCAGTAGATCTAAACCACTGAATTTACACCCTTGGCCAAAAGAATCAACGACTTTCCATTCGTGGAGTAGTAGAACAAGTGCAGCATATAGATGGTCGGCACCGTCGGTGTCCAAGAAATAACAAAACGATTAGAGGTGGCGATATATCCCCATATACATTTATCATCATGACCCATGGAGCACGGCTGTTCCGGAGGCTTCCCCGGAGGCTTCCCCGGCACCGTTTCCGTCTGCGCGCACCGCGGCGGCGTCATAGCCATCGATGCGGGGTACCAGCCAGCGATCGGGCTTCAAAGAGATCTCCACCTGCGCGGAGGCGCCGCCAGTGCCAAGTGAGGCGAAACGAAACGAAGCAAGCGGGATGTGGAGTGGGTGCGGCTTCTCTCGGTGGGCAGGGTTTCGTGTTGCATCCGTCCAAACCAGGACACGGAAGTCATTAATGCAGTTATATGTCAGACTGCAGTGACCAAAGCAGCGTCATTTCAGCTGCACCATGTACTTGTGCAAACTAAATATATACTTGCAATTTACAATTTAATGATTTTTAATGTACAGTTACAGAATTCTTCCCTGGATTCTTGTGATCCTTGAAACATCACATGTGTATTCACATTCACATCATTGGCAAACAAATCGCCAAGTACTTTCACTGGAGGCGAAAGAGAGGCCCGAGGCCCCATCAGCACTAGTGAGATGACAGCTCAGATCTTTTTCTGAGACATTCTAGACTTCTGCAAAAAGCGGAACTGGTTCATCCTTCGGAACTGGACATGTCTCCTGGAACTTGAGACAACCATGACAACCATGAGACTTCCACGGACCCGAGCGGACCACCTCACAGGGTGAGAATGTACAGGACTCCACCGGATGGGGACCTGACCGCCACATGCTCCACTGGATGAGTGTGCCGTCCGACAGCGACAGCATGCAGACCTGAACACAAGGAGTTGGCCAACAGAGTCTTCCATGACATGGGCACTGGGCCTGTGGAGGACCGCAAAACTCCCTCAAATTGAATTCAATGGAGTTAATTCGTGAGGACAAATCATTCAGTTTTAACATGTTAATTAACATGGTGATAATTCCAGACAAATCCATATCAAACACACCTGGAGCTCCGTATCCAGCTTCACCTTTTCGATTCACCGTATACTGTCAACATAACGACCCCGCGTACCAAAAGCGTACGGGGTCGACCTGCTTACGGGCATCTCCAGGTGCTCCACCCTGCTTGGTGTCCGTCTGCTCCTCGCCTCCTGCGGCGCTGAATCTCGCCACAGCTTCACCTTCACCTTCTCGCGGCCTGGAACGATCGCAAACCCATGAGACTTAAGGGGCGGGAGAAGCGTCGTTGGAAGAAGCGGCGGCTTTTCACGTCTTAGTTGGGCCACCTACAGGCCATATCAACGACTGGGGGAGATCTTTCTACAAGAAATCAAGATTCAAGAACACGACAAGGAATGAAGATTGCTTTTTCCCGCTGAGGATGTTTCGATCCTCTAAACCATCAAAGTTTAGGTCTCCAAGGGGCGCGTAACCATGGCAAGGAATTTCCTCTGATCCTGGGCGATCGTGGGATTAGTCTTTATATGTCTTTATTGGATGTGATGTCTTCAAGTTTATCAGTAGGAAAACATCTGAGCCTTTACTCAAGTCCCCACCCATCCAGCTTTCTGACATGTTACACCAATTCTCAGGCTGCCGACATGAGAGACTCCTGACCTCCATTGGAGAACCTTGCGGCATTTCGACCCCCAGAAATTTTGGTGGATTTGACCATGGGCCACTCTTACTTGTAACTTGAGGCCAGGGGGGAGAGGTCGAAAGCTAGCCGAATCGCACCGGATGTACTAGTTACATAGTCGGCAAAGCATGTAGGGATTACATGTTTTGGGAGGAAGGTTGCTATGTACAGACTTTGCGCTAAAGAATGTAAATGTGACATCGCTGACTGGGAAGGGTACATTGGAACAACCCGGGTGCACTCGTTGGCAGGCACGAAGATGCGTGATCGGCAAATATGGGGGGTAAATTTACCCTCCGCTTTTGTATGCCTTGAGTCGGAAAGAGGG